AAAAGAAACAGTCCAGAGGACTTTACTGGATATTTTACCTGGATTGTTGAGCCTGAACTTCGAGGATAACGCTAAAGTTTTGACTCAAACCACGAGTATACGAGTACACTCAGTATACGAGCAGCTTAGCTTGAAAGCGGTGGGCGACAAGCATCCCTTCAAGAAATTCTAGGCCTTTAATTTAAAGGATGTGCCTTTGAAAATATTTAAAACGTGTTGTTTGTAAAGAAGAGTCTTTAATCTCAGTGACTCGTTGTGTATTATATGACAGAAAAGAGGAACAAAGTTTAGCTTTGTCTGCAGGTGGTCCAAAGTACTGATCGTGCTGGTCCACGTGTCCTTGACCCGAGATCTTCGTCTCTCGTCAAGGTCGTCTTCGCTCTGCAGGTTATGCCGATTAAAGGCAGCGTTTACAGCAGAAACCGCAGCAATCTGCCACCAGCTCTGCCTTCCCGCCTGTTTGACGCTTCAGTCGGCAGCTAGCAGCCTGATTACAGCCGGCTTTATGGCTCAGCCCGAACAGATGGCGTGCAGATAGCGCCGGGCCGCCTGTCAGCGCTCATTTCACCCACCACAACTCCACGGTTTGTCACAGCGAGACACAAAACAAAGCATTCTCTATCGAAAACATAAAAGTTATTTTATGTAGATATTAAAACTTGTGCAAATCTCCAAACACGTGCAGTTTTATTGACATCATCAGTGGTGTTTTACATCTCCTTTGGCTCTATGCGTCATTAAAAATGGCACAAAAAGCTGTTTGGTGGGATTTAAATGAAGCCTTTAAAGAAAAACGACACATTTCTCCTGACGGACGAGGTTTAGATGCGCTGGCACCTCCATTTGTTTAGTGTAAGACGTTTTTAAACACTTTCCGAAGTGGACGATTTGAGTGTGAATGCAAATATATGGAGCTTTTCGGACGCACCGTCACTTCAGGTCCTAAAAACGACAACTGAGTCGTTTTGATTCGTTTTTCGTGTCTGTCTCGACACTGAAACTTTTTTTTTTTTTATTACAACTGACGTCATATCGATTCGTTAGTCACCACTGCTAATCCATCAACGCAAACACAAAAATGGCTTTAAGCTAGTCATTTTTATGGTGATTAGGCTAATGTTTTGGGTGGTAGTAGCAGAGAGTCATCACTAAAGCATACTCTGAACCCAAACAGATCACATGTCTGTTTAAAACTTAAACTTGAAATGCGGAGAACGATATGCATTCCTTCAAGGAATGCTACTTTCATTTTTGATCTCCTGTGAGTTTTTGTGAACCGACTCACAACTAAAGGAATTGAATTTCCTGCAAAAATGCAATGTGAATGCTTCTTGCTGGAAAAACAGCTGAAATGAGCTAAAAACATGCTGAAATGTATAAGCAGAAAAAATACATTTTCATAACTTTGCTTAAATAAGCAGAAATTATCTTAAAAATGAGTAAATTAGCTGAAAAAAAGAAGAAGTATCTGAATCATCATCATCATCATCATGAAGTATCAGAATTATCTGAAAAAAGTTTTAAAAAAATTTTAACAGCTGAATGGTAGCTAAAATAGCAGAAAGAAGCTTAAATTACCCAAAGGAAGTGGAGAGAGCACCATTGTGATCAATAAGACTTGAAGAAGCAGAAATAAGCACAAAAAATGGAAATTATCTGAAAAAATATGAAATTAAAAAAGAAATTAGCAAGAAATAGCTGAAAAGTAGCTAAAATGGCAGAAAGAAGCTTAAACTACCTGAAGGAAGCGGAGAAAGCACAATTATGACCAATAGGACTGGAAGAAGCAGAAATGAGCACAAAAAAGTTGAAATTATCTAAAAAAAAGTTTTAAAAAATTACAAAAAAAAAACAACAGCTCAATGGTAGCTAAAATAGCAGAAAGAAGCTTAAATTACCCATAGGAAGTGGAGAGAGCACCATTGTGATCAGTAAGACTTGAAGAAGCAGACATAAGCACAAAAAAATGGAAATTATCTGGAAAAAAAAAGAAATTAAAAATCAGCTGAATAGTAGCTAAAAAAAAAGGCAGAAAAATGCTCAAATTACCAGAAGGAAGTGGAGAGAGAACATTTTTGCTGAATTAGGCTGAAAAAAGTTTAAATGAGTGCAAATAATGTAGAATTAAGTGAAAAGGCAAAAATTAGCACAAAAAAGCTAAATAGTAGCTGAAATAACAGAGAAAGCTGAAGCGTGCAGAAATAAGCTTAAATGAGTATAGCAAGCTGAAATTAGCTGAAAGTAGTTAGAAGAAGCACTTTTTTGTTAGAAGAAAGATTCTGAAAGGAACAAAACAGCTGCCAAAAAAAAAAAAACCCTGCTTAAATTAGCTGAAATTAGCTGAAGAAAAAAATACAAGGAAGCTGAAAGAAGCTAAACCAGAACAAAATGTGAAAGGAGCAGTAAAAGGTTGTAAACATATTTAAAGATTTGAAGGATGTAAAATGAGCTCAATTCATTCTCTATGAGAGTGAAATGTCAGACAAGGCTAATGTGAATGCTTGATAAACATCCACACAATAAAATGGTAAAAATTAAAAGACTCATGGACTAATTTCTGATCATCCCCACTTGATAAAATCAGATACTTCTTCCTCCGGGGCTCCTAAATGTGACTTTTTATACATCACACACCTGTTGCAACTCCTAGCTGTCTCCAGCTTTGTCTTACAGACTTGATGTGATGCTCTTATTTTGACACATTCACTCTGTTGTCTGTCTGTTAGCAGCAGATTGCTTTTGAGCTGATTAGGCCTTGAAAGTTACTCGCTCTGTGTTTTACTGCTGTGACTGCACTTAACTCATGCAGCGGACTCGCTCCACAATGCATCGTACAATGAGGCGCTTTGCTCAAAAGTGCTTCCCGCAAAGTGAACAAAACAGAAGTGGGAATTCAGCCCAAAATAAAAAAAAAACAATCTCTTTTCATTGTCCATGTTTTGTGGGTGAGTTTGTGTGGGCGCGCTTATAGAGGGTTCATAAAAGAAAATGACAGATGAGGGATGCAGTGATCCATTTCACACGACCCGGATCCCATTTCTGATGATTTCTGCTGGACCTCGGAGTCTATTCATCACTTTAAAGCTGCTGATGGCTCCGGCATCCCATCATTTCAGACATCTAAATGTGATATAACCCCGAGGTTCTTTGGCAGCTCACAAACAAAAAAATGGAAAATAGACATGTTTTCAGTGTTTAGACAAAATTGCAAACGACTCAGTATGCTCAGTATGAAACTGTCCAGATGACCTGACTGAAAAATATTGGACTCAGTATGCTGTTTAACCACACTTAAATATAAAAACAAGTTAAAAAGTATCCTAATTTCAACTACTGAAAAGGCAAAACTCATATTTATAAAAAAAAGAATACGACTGTTCAAACAAGAACATGGTGTTAACACAAACTATAACAATCCTGTGAAAATACACTGTGAATACTTATTGCTGAAAGGTGCTGAAGAAGCTGAAACTAAGCTGTAAATTTCCAATAACAGAACTGCTACCACTTGTTTAATATGAACTATTGAACATGTAGCCAAAAGTCGTTAAATGATAGGTGTAAATGCTAGCAATTAGCAGGAAAAAGGTAGTTAAGAGTCAAAGGTAGTTAAATGCTTGCAAAAAAAGCTAACAATGCTAGCGTAGAGCCAGCAGTAGCGAAACAATTAAAAAAAGTCAGAAAATACTAGCTAAGACCCACAAATGTCACAATGGGCTGGTGTTGGTGAACCCATTTGTGCAGACAAGTAGGCAAGAACTTAGGGTAAATATAAAATAAAGGATTTATTTTACAAAAACAAAAGACTGACTGGGCAGCAAAACTTAGGTGAGACATCAGGGAGTACTCAGGGAACAGACAGGTCATCACCAGTGGACAGAAGACAATGCCAGGATGAGGGTCAAGACAAACACACAATACCTGTGAGCTTACACAGCTGTGGAAAATAGAACAAATCAGACACAAGGGAGCAGGACAGAGACACAACACTAGATGGAGCTAGACACTAGGAACACACAAATCATATAAAGACAAAAACAGAGGATGAGAAGAAAGCAAGACAAAAACCCAACACCAGATGGGGCTAACCACTAGGGGACAAAAACCACAACCCCTACAAACAAGTAGTGAAGCACTAACAGTTTGCAAGATAAAGCTAGCTCAGAGTCAGAAGTAGTGAAACGCTAGCAAAAAACATAAATGCTAAGTAGTAGAAAAGCCAGAAAAACTAATTTAGTGTAAGAAGCAGCAACATACTAATAAAAATAAAACGTTAGCAAAGAAAGACAGAAAAAGCTCTTTTTAGAGGCAGAAGAATCGAATTGCTAACAAAAAAACAGGAAAAAATGCTAGCTAAGAGTCAGAAGTAGCAAAACACCAACAAAAAAAGCTAGAACAATCTTGCTTAGATGCAGAAGTAGCAAAATGCTAGGTTATAGTCAAAAGTAGCAAAATGCTAGTATAAAAAGCACCGTAAGGCTAGTTTAGAAGAGGAAGTAGAAAAATGCTAACAAAAATGCAGAAAAATGCTAACTAACAGCCAGAAATAGTGAAATGCTAGCAAGAAATAAAAAAGCTAGCTTAGAATCAGAAATTGCAAAATGCTTGCAAAAGAGCATGAAAAGGCCGGCTAGAGGCAGAAGTATTGAAATGCTTGCAAAAAGCAAGTAAATGTTTTCTAAGAGCTAGAAGTAGCTAAGTGAAGTCCTGTTGTGAAGTTTAACATCCTTTGTTTAACGGTTATCAAATTAGACCTATTTAAAGTAAATTGTGACTTTTGACTTAATGATCTTGACTGTGGAGACATTTTCTAGTTCTGTGCCAGTGGGAGACATTTATTTGTCCTTCTTCACAAAATCTGCATGTTTGGTTGAGACTCTTGTGCACTCACACCCCTTCTCTTCCTCTGCCCCCGTGAGCATGCTAAAATGAAACTTGTGTTCTTGTTTGTGTTCATTTTGACCAGATTGTGGGTTTAACAGAATTATTTGTGTGTGCAGGATGGAAGAGACGGTGCGGTCGCTGCTGCAGAGTCAGGGAGTCCTGGAGCAGACTGCTGTGGACACAGTGGATATCATGAAGGCCTATAAGGTAACCCACATGATCACTTTGATCCCACCCTACAGTGAAGCATAGCAGTGGTAGCGTCATGGTGTGGATGTCTGTCATCAGTAGGGATTAGGAAACTGGTCAGATAAATAAATAAATAAAACATGGATTACGCAAAATATTTTACTTGTGTTGGCAAAATGAGTCTGAATGAGCATAAGCTGCAGTGAGATAATATGGAGTTTGCCATCATTTAGATTTGTGTAAAAACGAGTCCATAAACACAAGACGTCTATCAATCTCAGTAACTAAAATAGCCTAAAATCGTCTTAGCTCATTTTTAAATTAGTTTTCTAACAAATGTGTCTAAAAGATAAAATAAATCTAAGGGTCAAGCATAAAGAGTCTGGCTAAAAACAGCAACTGGCCTCGCTAAAAGCCGTGACGGGCCTAGCTAAAAGCAGCGAAGAGCCTAGGTAAAAGCAGCGAAGAGCCTAGCTAAAAGCAGCGAAGAGCCTAGCTAAGAGCAGCGAAGAGCCTAGGTAAAAGCAACAAAGGACCTAGCTATAAGCAACAAAGGTCCTAGCTAAAAGCAGTGAAGAGCCTAGCTAAAAGCAGCGAAGAGCCTAGCTAAAAGCAGCGAAGAGCCTAGCTAAGAGC